TAAATAAATAAATAAATCATACAGTCTACAGTGTAGCCTGAGTCTTAAGTTGAATCAGGTTGGCTGGTGTCCTTTCTATGGCTCGGTCCTAAAGCTGCTTTTAGAGACAGACCTTTTCCTTGAACAAATATGAAGGCAGAGTGATGGTGAACACCTCTGAGCAGATGCAGGGGGCACTACCTCTATTACTAAACAACCCTCCATCATCTGATCCCAAATAATATGGACTGATGACTCAAATATAGGAGAATGTTCCTGTTCCTTTATCAGAATTTAAGCACTGGGACAATATGTGCACCAGGAGAGTCTGTTTTGGAGGAGTAAGGAGGTACTGGGAAGAAGAATGAAAAAAGTATTACTTTTTGTTTGTCTTCCTTTATTTCCTGAAGCCATCAGAGGGCTTAGTTACCGGAAAGCTTCATTTCCCACTGTTTTAAAGAAGTTTAACATTAACCATGGCAGTTCTCAGGCTTGATCAAAACCAATTGCATAGGAGAGAGAGGTTGTTTCATTCACCCTTGTACAGTGTTCTTGGTTAAAACTGTTATCGGTCTTTGGCATGTGGCAAAGTGAAGCTGGAATGAACTTTCTTCAGAAAAAAATGCTGGCCAGGGAAGAAGTAAAATGTCTCTCCTATTGAAGATTGTTTTCTCTAGGAGGTTGTTTATGAGTTGGCTCTTAGATTTAAAGCTATGCTTTGATAGTGATCAAAACTGATGAAATTGATGTAAGCTCACCTCAGCTCATGAAAATCATGGGCCAGACAGAAATACATAAAATTAAAAACAACTTAGTGCCAGGTATGTTTTGCCCCCCATAGAATAACAATATGGGAAGAAAAGCCAGCACATGTTGTTTTGTTTTTCTGCCTTTCTGTTTTTCCTCTGCTTACTCTAGTGTATATGATTCTCTCATCCTGCCACCTCTTTATGTATAGGACAACTTTGCAAGGCAAGTTATTCTGAGGAGGAGAGTGTGTACAACCAGACCACAGTCATTCAGTAAACTTCACAGCTGAAAGTCTGAAACATGTCAGTCCTAAATCTGACATTCTAATCATTATCTCTCTCATTCCCTGCAACAACAACACACACACACACACACACACACACACACTCCTTAACTGGTCTGCCCCTAGAAAACAGTGGAATTGGATCCCAACACCTTGTGGTGCAGTGGTTAAACTGCAGTGCTGCAGTGAAGACTCTGCTCACAACTGGAGTTTGATCCAAGGCTCAGGTATTTGGTTCAGGTTGAATCAGCCTTCTGTCCTCTGACATCAGTAAATTAAGTGGGGGGGAGAATACATAGCCTGCATAATTAAAACTGTAAACTGCTCAGATACTCCTTTAAGGGTTATGGGGCAGTATACAAGCAGAACAATTTGCTTTTTTTTTTTTTGGTCTGGAAATTAACTCCCGAGTCTCCATCAGCAAAGACTGGCTGGGGGAGCATTCCTTTCCACGTTGACCGCTTTGGGCTGGAAGCAGCATTGCTACCTTTTCCCTGGCAGCAGGACAGCAGCCCTGACTCCTAGAAATTCAGTGGGTGAAGCTGTGGACAGGAAAAGCCCCGAGAACCTGTGCTTCAGAGGCGTCCTAGTCAATTGAAAGGGGACTATGCCAGAGTGACCTTGTTTCAACACGACCCTCAGAAGGTAGGTAGGTGGCTGCCAAGGCGACTGACGTTGGCTACCTAGTCTGACATAAGCACGGATTGCTAAAGCCTTTGCTTCCGCTTTGCTGGGCTCCGCTTGGGGAAGGCCGCCCGCCTCAAATCCAGCTCATCCCTTCGCGGCGAGTGATGTCATGTGGGGACGGCCCCTTCGGCTGCCCTCCCCTTGAGGGGGGGGAAAAGATGAGCCGAGGAGAGAATGGGCGTGGGAAGAAGTATCTGCCGGGAGGGAGGCGGGATTCTGCTCGGAGGGCTTCCCCGCCTGCGTTTGCTTCTTGAGGCGCCTCTCCATCTCCCCCCCCTCCCCACTACTTTCCTTTCGAGCGCGACCAGGAGCAAGAAGGGCGAGCCGCTCGGCGAAGTTGGCTGCCCGACATTGCCTCTGGCCCTGGAGGACGACCCGCTCGCCGCCGGTGCCTCGCCTCCTTCGCTCCGATTTCTCCCGCCTCCGGAACCCGGGTGAGGGCGCAAGGGTCGAGGCTTTGTCGCAGACCCGGGCTGGGAAGGGGCTGGGAAGGGAAAAGGACCCGATCCTCGCACAACCGTGAATCTTAGCCCGGAGTGCCGCGCGGGGCAAGGCTGGGCGAAAGGGAGGGACCGACGGCCTGGCACAGAGAGGGAGAAGCGGGGTCACGGAAGAGCCCGCGGGGAAGGTTGCTGGTTCGGGGCGCGCAGGAGGAGGAGAAAGAAGAGCCAGGCGTGCATCTTCTGTTCTTCAACACACACACCCCGCGCGCCTTTATAGCAAGGGAAAATAATAACACAAAATGAGGGGGTCCTTTAGGTTGTGTGTGTCATAATTGTTGAGTGCTCCGCCCAGAGACCTCTGGGTAGTGTGGGCGGCATATAAATATAAATTAAATTTTTTAAAAAAATTGCTTTTCTGAATTGCTGCCTAGAAAGGCCCAGGCAGGGCCCGGCCAGTTGGGGTTCTTCGCTGTAACTTGGACAGGTCATTTCTAGGAAAACAAAGTCGAGGGGGGAAAAAAAGGCAGGGATCAGAGCCCGTCACGAAACAGTTCCTGCTGGTGCTGAGCAGGTCCAGAGTTGTTTGTAGGCGCTACCTGGAGAGAATGAGCTCGCTTTCACTGAAACAGTTCCTGCTGGTGCTCTGAGTGTCGGCTGAGCGACTTCTTTCCCTCGGCTGACCCGATTTGCTGAGCAGGTCCAAAGTTGTTTGTAGGCGCTACCTGGAGAGAACCAGCTCGCTTTCATTGTAGAGACGGTATGATGAGGGCCCACGGACTCGGAGGGAGTGAGAGTTTTTTAAAAGTTTGAACGCCAACTCCCAGAATCCACAGTTCTTGCTGGCTGTGCAGGCTGGAAGATTCTGGGGGCTTTAATCCGAACTTTCGCAAACTCTGACCAGGGGCCTGATGGTGCCAACAAGCAAAAAGAAGCCTTCAGTTGGAAAACTCTTCACTTACAAGGGTGTAGGTTAATGGAAAAGAAATGGGGTTTGAGGAGGTAGCAGCTCCCAAGTACCAAAGGAGCAGGGGAGATCTTCAATAGATGAAGTGGGCTGGAGAAAGGGAAATATAATTGTTTTCACTTTAGCTACTGTGGCGGAACTGGGATGCAGTTACTGTACTCAGATTTCACCTTGTTTTTCTTCTTGCATTATATTTGTATTTTGCTGTCATTTGCTTTGAGCAGTAGTTATAGAAGGCAGAATAGATACATAATAAATAAAACATATTGAGTCCCTCATCTTATAAAATGCGGATGGTGTGATTTGTTAAATTCCTATATATGTCCCAAAAAAGCAGCTATTGATGGCACCCTTTAACTGCCCCATTTAAACTGCTTTAAAAAAAAACTGCATGGCAGACAGACATTCACCAGGTGAAGGCTATCTTGCAGTAGAGACAAGCAACTGCAAAAGCTTAACTTATTCCCATTATAACTCTCTGCATCTCTACTGGGAGTGGCAACTGAAACAGTACTCAAAATAATGTCCTTTACATTCAACTGGACTTACTACCAGGTGGGCTGGTACGAAATGTTAGTTTTTATCTTTGAAGGCACAGGGCCAGGATGGTTGGTGATGGTGCCATTTTAAAGTTTGAAATCCAGCATCAGTTATGATTTATCCTCATTACCAGCCTCCCCTTGTTATACTAAACAATAAGCACATGATCTGTTGCCTTATTTGACTGACATTTCTTCTGGCAGGGCTGCTGTGACTGTTAGCTCTTCACTGACTGTGACCACATCATATCGCTGTATCACCATTTCAGTAAAAAACATTTCAGTTCTGTTTCTGCCCACCATGCAGATTTTAGGGCAGAGAAACTTTGGGATGCTGTCACCTCCTTGTCTGGACTGAAGTTGTGTGTTAAAACCTATGTTGTTCTGGCTCATGGCAACCCAGTATATTAGTGAACTGCAAAAGATCCTATCATTCAATGACTGTTTTGGTCTTGCAGAGCGACATTACAGTGGTACCGCGCAAGATGACTACCTTGCTAAACAACAAATCCGCATATTGTTCTGGCTCATGGCAACCCAGTATATTAATGATCTGCAAAAGATCCTATCATTCATTGACTGTTTTGGTTTGCAGAACGACATTACAGTGGTACCACGCAAGATGACTACCCTGCTAAACAACGAATCTGTGTATCAATGACTTTTTGTGACCGCTATAGTGATTCGCAAAACAGTCATTCCAATGGGGGATTTTCACTGGACGTCGATTAGATCCGTGCTTTGCGAACCGTTTGTTTGCAAGACGATGATTTTTTTTCCACTGATCGTTGGCTTCGCAAAATGGCTGCCCTGTGTTTTCTGGATCCATACTTCTGAGGGCAGCCATTTTTACATCTGATCGGTGCTTGCAAAATGGCTTCCCTATGGGTGATCTTCGCTGGACGCTGATTTCACTAAACAGCGATTTCAGTGGGATAAATTATCATCGTCATGCAGGGCACCATTGTATGCCTAACCCAAATTAGAACACTTAGGTACTGATGTGTGATTGTCATAGCAGTGTCTTTTCCCGCCTCTCATTGTCTGCATATTAGCTTCCTTTGTTTTATTATTGGATTTCAGGGCATGAGTCCATTTTTCATTTGTAAGTCTGATTTCTCAAGACATGAAGGGCTGCCTGAATCACATGTCTGATATGCTAAAGTGATTTCAGCTCTAATAGCAGACTGTCTATAACTGTCTAAAAGTTTGACCCTCTGGCAGTTTAAAAGAGCAGGTGTAGCATTTTCAGGAATGGCAATACAGTACTGGGGAAAGCTACACATGTTATAATCCTGCCTGTCATACTAGCAATATTCAGCTGATACTACTACTATAATGCATCATTCTTAATCTGGCCTTTCTTAAGTAATAATAATAAATGTTTTATTACGGTCATTGACCAGCAAAAATAAGCAACATTATTTCAATTACAAAATATAAAATCAAATTAAAAACACTAAAAACATCTATATATCTATATATAAAACTGCATTCATACATCTTATTAGAGATCTACTGCCTCCCTATCATAGGCCTTTTCTATGGACTATTGTAGCTTGCATAGATTGACAGAATTCTTACTTAGAAGCTCATAGAGCCCGTAGGATCATTAAGGCCTCTACATCTATACATCAGTTTACAAATTACTTAGAAGCTCATAGAGCCCATATGATCGTTAAGGCCTCTACATGTATACACCAGTTTACAGATACGGATTTTGATTGCAGCAGCACAGAATTTAGCTAGTTTTGTCAATATATCTGAATTTTGGTTTAGCCCAGTATATCTGCGAGGACATCTCCCTGTCAGCAAGAGCAGTGTGTAATGCGCCTCCGATCGTCCAGGAAATGCCCTTATGTAAGGGTTAACAAGGACTTCTTGAATGCCAGAATAAAAAGCACAATGAAGTAACACATGGGAGATGGTTTCCATCTCACCAGAGTTACATGGACATAGTATATGCTAAAGGGGCATAGACGCTGAGTGTAAGGGGTGTTCTTGTACAGTACTTGCCTTCCTGGACTGGTGACAGAAGTGCAGTGAAGTGGGCCAGAGTAAGGGCTTTGCATTGTTTAGGTGTTAAGGATAAGTAGAGATATTTAGCTGGTTTGGGTGGAAGCAGTGTGTTGTCAAGTATAAGCCTATTTATGATAATACCAAGGTCCTGCTGCCTTTCAGTCTCAATAATAAGCTGCCTGAGGTCCTGCTGCCTTTCAGTCTCAATAATACACTGCCCAAGATCGCTCTTGGCCTTAATGTATCCCATTTGTTGGATACATTCTACTGAATAGCTGTATCTGGTGATTTTAGTGTATATTGCTCTCTTCCAAGGTGGCTAATTGTTATCCTGTAATACCAGTGAAGTCAGTCCAATTGGTTGAAAGGTTAGTTTTAACCAAAAGTTAAATTTAGCCAGCCAAGCACTGGCTTCAACCTTCAGGTAGCCCACTTCAAGCCTAAGGGCTGTATTGGATACCCTTCTTGGGACTTGTAAGATAGCCGCTACAAATTTAGATTGAACTACGTACTTCTAACTGGATAAATGAAGAATAGGGGCCCAATTGTGCTCCGTACAAGAATTGACTAAGGGTTATGGCCTGGAACAATCTTAGTGCAGCTGATATGTACTGGCCTCCCTTTGTGTAGAAGAATTTTAATATAGCAAGGCTAGATTTTTGTGCTGCTTATACCACATTGTTAATGTGAGCCTTGTGGTTTCCTTTATATTGTAAGACGACACCGAAATGTTTGTAAGCCTTAATGCTCATCAATTAATCACTTATAGATCCTCAGCCTCTGAGCAAATACTAAAACTTTGGTCTTTGAGTAATTTATTTGTAGCATTTCCTCTTTACAATATTGCATGAGAGTGCGTAATGCTCTCGCTTTTCTTAAGTAAGAGGAAGAAGAAATGAAATGCTCAGCCAGCTGAATTCAGTCACTGAGCATTGGGAGGGAGAATGGAAAGGAAGTCCCTATTCAGCTATTGGAGATCACCTGGGATTTTCTACCCCATTTTTATTTCATTTCCTCTGTGGGCTGGGTCCTGAGCCTCCAGATTAGGCCAGAGGACCAACAGCCCAAAGGAATGGTTTTCTTCAGCAGTTGGGAAATTGCCTGACCATGCTCCCAGGCTGTTCGTGATTGGGTTCTGCAATTAAGCCTTGAGTCCCAAAGAGGTGACAGTAGAAGCCTATAATACAGAATCAAACTGTTGTGTCAAAAACAATAGCAAATGAACCTCAGAACAAGAGCAGATTAACAAGGCAACTACTGGAAATAAGGCTGTCTCACTATTTATGCCCAAACTGTAGAACTCTCTCCCTAGATGTGTTTGTGGGGCACCTTCCTGTCTCTGACAAGGCCAGCCAGCCAGCCAAAGTCCCTCATTTGATGGTGCATTTGTTTTGGATTCCTGTCCAGCTACTGTGCTTCTACTCGTAGTTTCACTGCTGTTTGATGTTCTGTTTTTACTGGATCTGCCCCCCCCCCATAAGCCACCTTATGGTCCTTGGGGCAGAAGTAAGGGGTGTGGATGAACACATTTCATGTCAGCTCTTCCCTTCCCATGGCAATCTTGCTGAGTGCAGTCCTTTCTCTTTGTTTCATGTAAAATTACTCATGCCAGAGATTGGAAAACTCAAGCCTAGTCCTGTCTCTAAATCTCTCTAAGCATCATATTAAGTCCCAATCTTTAATTAACTAGATTGCAACTTATGTAACTTGTCTATATTTATCTGATATTTAATTTTGATTTTGATTGTTATTGTGTTTATTGTTTCATATTATTGTTTATCTGTTTTTTAGTTGTAAACCACTCAGAGAGGCCCTGGCAGCCACATGGGCGGTATAGAAGTCAAACAAACAAACAAACTAGAGGCAAATGATATTCAGTTTGAAACCTAGGCTCCCAGTTGCCTGAATTGTATATATCCGCCATTGGTTTGGGGTACTTCTGTCTGTCTGTACATTAGACCCATCCTGTCTCTTAGGAGTGAAGTGAAGCTAATGTGGCAATCTGTTTACTCCGGAGCAGATTTCACTGGCCTCCAATTTTGGGATGTTGTTCATCTCAGCCCATGTTCACACATGGCACTTCCCTTAACACTAGAAGATTGAAAGCCTGAAGAATCCCTTTGTTTAGGTGTCATTGTTTTGGGGCAAATGATACATTAAAGCTAGCACATCTTTAGAAGAGAGAATTCCTTTACTGTTGGCGTCTTTCTGTAATGCGTAGCTTGGCCATTGCATCAGTGGGGTGCTAGCCCCGATTGAGATTCCTGGTCTGTTTGGTTGTTGCCAGGCTCCTCTTCCAGTTCCAAATAAATCTCATAGTTAACAGTTGTGATCTTTTTGTGTGTGTAAAGGCTACTAAATCCACCCACATAATGAATGCCTGGAAAACTTCCAAATGTAGTTGAGCTGAAATGGGTGGTGGGTGGGATCTACGTAGGAAGTGGATAGGAAAGGAGGCCCATTTGGCTCAGGCTTCAAGCACAAGGAGGCCTCACATTCTTGTTGTTGTTCGGTGGCATATCCTGCAGGAAAGCAGCAGGAGGACTCAACACAAACATTGATTTTGGTCTCTAAACTATGTCGCCCATATCTTTCCTAGGAGCTATTCTGCCATCAATTTCAGAGCTTGCTGCTAGTTACTTGTGGAGGGCAAATCAGCTCCATGAGTGAGGAACTTGGTTGTCTAGAGATCAGGGGTGTTCACAGTCCCTCAGAATGACTGTGAGTCATACTTATTATCCTGAACAAATGAGTCAGCTATTTATGCTTTGAGGATATTATTTGTTAAGAGATCTCTAAGGTTGGTAGTTTAGTGTTAATGTTCTGTGCTGTGAGTAATCCTACTGGGTGCTTGCCATAATCTATCTAAAGGCCATCATGGTCATGATTTTTTTCAAACTCTGGACATGGTTCACATGCTGTCCTGCTTGCTCTCCCTCCAAAGTGGATGGGGCTTCAGAAGCAGACTTCATCCAAAGCCTCGTTGGGGGTGGGGGTGGGAACAGAGGTTTGCAATCCTTGGTGTAAGGTAAGTAGTTAGTAAAGTTTCGTTCCAAATTTGGGTGATGTTTCAGTGAATCAGAATACATGGAATTACCTTTGTTTGTACATGCCCATTAATGCTTCAGCAATATTGATGTTAGCTAGCACTCTCAGTGCCTAGCTGAAGGTTAATGGCTGCATGCAACCTGTGTCTCTCTAAAACATGCAGTCCAAGAGTTGGCAATGTGCACCTTGTGAGGTGTATGCAACCCCTCTAATGGCTATTTGTGTTGGCTTTCCAGATTCATCTAATCAGCACCAAATCACTTACAAAGAGAACACAAAATACAGCCTTGTGTGAAAGTCAATGAAATAGCAGTTCAAGCCAACAAAGAATGTGTAGTTTTTCACAGAAGCACTGAGGCATCAAGAGAGAAAGCCTTAGCAAAACAACACTGGCTGGTGCCATCTCTTGCATGCAGAAAAAAACAACAACACTAAGAGGTTTGTTCAGAGTTGTTTTAGTGACAGTTGTCCTTTGTCAACTGTACGCAGAAGATTCTCCCAGACCTTTTCTCCTTTCACTGGAGAAAGTATAGTACACGGATTATTTGCAGATAAAGTCAAGTGTGAAGACAAGCACAAATGCACAGTGTTTGTTTATTTTCTCGATATGTTGCCTCCTAACCAAGCTACTTTGGCCAGTTTTTTAATCTGAAGATAAAATACAGACATAAAATATAGTGATCAGCCATGGATCAGAGATAGAATTAGACAACAGATGAGAGAAGATAGCAGGAACATGAGCAGGAATAATATCAGCTGAGTGCAGGTGACTTTTAAAAGCCTGTGATTTTGAGACAAATTTTTAAAGGCTTGGAAGAATAAAATGTTTTTTTTTTTGCCAGGCACCAGAAGAAACCATAAAGCAGGTGTCAGGTAACCTCTTTGATGAGAACATTGCAGAAGGAAGCTGCCACCGTGGAAAAAAGCCTTCTTGCTGGAAGCTGCCTGCCTCATGTCTCAAGGCAAGCATCATGGTAAATTTCATGGGCCTTGCAGATCTGGTACTCCATATGGAACAAAAAGACTTATTTTGGTGTTGAGGTGAATATCATATATAAGGAAGGAAAAGGCATTCCCATTAACAGATTTTTAAAAACAAATTCATTCAGTTTGTGGTCGGCGGAGATATTACCAAAGTGTATCCATATCTTTCACTTTCCCATTATTGGGAAGAAACTGCAAGATTCTTTTTTTCATTTTGAATTATATACAGACAAATGTACACAGTTCCAAATGTTTTGAAAAAAATGATTTAGTTATTGGGAAAATGCATACAAAACTACAAATATTCCAAAAATGTTTTAAAGGATATATATTAGGAAAATTGCTTACCAGAATATACATAAACTTCAGTTAAAAAGTACCCATAAAATTGCAACTCAATACAAAACAAAGAAAATGATGGAAGAATTCTGAGAAATGTAACAATATTGTGAGTGGGAGATTTGTATTTTCCTAGCCATTCGTAATCTTGCAGTTCATGTAGGAAGGCAACATTGACTAGACTGGAAAACAAATTTATACCTGTTGAGTGGAGTATAGAAACCTGGAAAAGGGTCAAGTTTTTAAGCACCTACACACTGTCTTGCTTAAGGAGAGCTCACAAAATCTGTTGAGACAGTGTTTAAGGTAGAACAGACCTATCCTTTCACAGTGATGGTAGTAGACTGAAAGGTACTACGCAGTGACTACCCAGTCAGATGAGCCACCTTCTGCTGCACTGTGTGTATGCATGTGTGGGTGGATTTCTATCATTTCAATGGATTCAAGACTAAAATGTCAATAACTTTCCTCTCTTTTAGACTTCATTCATGACTTCAAATAAACGAGTGGATTTGAAAATCATTATCATTGGAGCTTTGGGGTAAGCATTATTCTTTTTGCAATTTGAGGCATCTACCAGGACAGATCTGCGTAAGCACTGTAATGGCTTTTTCTCCTCTAGCTTATAATGCTATTTTTATTGTGTTGTATTGCCTATTACATTTATATCATCCATCTCCCAAGGAACCAGGGCTATTCATCCTTATAATAACCCTGGCAGATAGGGTAGACTAAGAGAGAGAAAGTGAGAGAAGTAGAGAGAGACTGACACATATTTGAACCCAGGTCTCCCCAGTCTTCCTCTGACACTTCAACTAAAGAGGGTGTCCAAGTGATGGCATAAATGTTAAATTTCTGTTGGCATTTTTGGAATCCCTAACAATAAACTCATTAAAATCAGCAGGATATAGTGTTTGGACTAGGATTCAGGAGCCCTGGGCTCAAACCCCATTCAGCCCTGAAGCTCACTGGGTGATTCTGGCAAGTAAGGCTTTTTCAACCTGACCTGTGTTGCACTGTTGCTGTGAGCATGCAGTGGGGAGGAGGAAAGCCATATATGCCTCCTTGGGGTTGACTGACAGAAAAGTAAGATATAAGTATAACAAATAAGTACAAATAACAAGTTCCAGGATGAGGTTCAAATAACAGACTGTACTGTATTGATCACAAATATCTCCTGGCTCCACCACATTTTTCTCTGTCTAAAGCAGCTGCAGAAGACATAATCTTCAAAAGAAGATCAGCAGGCAAAGTCACTTTAATCTTCTTTCTGCCCATTTTCTAGCCTAGTGCCACAAGGAGGGGAGAAAGATGGGAACTTATTTCTTCTCTTCATTATAGAATTAGAAACAACTTTCAAGGTGACTTGGAGGTAGAAAATGGGCAGAGAGAGAAAAAAGTAAAGCTGCTTCTTCTCCTGCACTCTAGTCCTGTCTTTCATTGAAAACTGCACCCTGAGTGGCTACTTTAGATAAAAGGAACAGATAATGCTGAAGCAAAGTAGAGAACTATTGGTGATACAATTAGTTCAACTGTGAGAGAACGTGACCGTGGCGCACACACATAGAAAAAAAAGAAAAGAAAATTAAGGTCTACATCCAGTATTCTGAGAATTGACATCTGCTCATGCAACAGAACTTTTGCTTCTGCTCCTCCCAGCTGCAGCCACCTATGTTCTGTTCCTCATCTCTCCCCTGGAGATCTTCCCCATCCCTCCTCCGCAGCTTATGGGGTGCAGGAAGATGCTCATTTAAAGGAAGATCTGTTCTGTTCGTGGATGCAGTTCTGCTGTCAAACAGACATGAGTGCATGCAACTGTTATGCTTCTTGCACACAGCATTTGAATAAAATGCATGAACATATAAACAGCAAATTAATAACACTGATGAGGAAGTCATTGAATTGCAGAACTGTGAGGGATCTCAGGGGCCATTGAGTCCAAACCATTGCTGAAGTTGAAATTGTAAAACAAATGCAGTCACTTTAAAGCATAATGCAGTTTAGGAAACCTCATAGTGGGTCAAGGGCATTCCTTTCTTGAGTCTGAGACTTACATTCAGATTTTGATAGGCGTGAGGGTACTAGACACTGCATGATGGGGACCAGTACTGGATGCCCTTCTGTTGATGGGAAAGGAGGGGACTGTTTCATATTCTTAATTAGTGTCAGAAGATTTTATAAATGGGGAAAGGAGGATTTCAATGGTTATGCTTTAAAGTAAGGTTGTCCAGGCAGTCTGCTTATGGCCCACTGGACTTCATGAAGACTGTCAGTTCCATGCATTCTTGCAGTCCAGCAACATCTGGAAGGCCACGGGTTTCATAGCCCCTCCTAAAAATAAATTCCAGGCCAATGAGGAGAGAACTATATGTGCTTCATGATAATTATAAGATTCCCATGCCAGTGTGATATAATGGACAAAGTGTTGAATTGGGATTGAAGATCAAGGTTCATCTCCACTGATCCAGAGAATTCTCAGAGTGATTTTAGGCTAGTCACTCTTTCCTATCCTACCTCGTGAGGTTGTTGTGAGACTTAAAGTGAGAAAGAGGAGAGCTCATCTGTACCATCTTGAGCCCAATGAATGAAAGGTGGAACATGAATGTAAATAAGTCTGTTCTAGACTGTGTGACAGGTTAGTCAAGGGGAGTCTTCAGTGTGTATCCTTCACCAATTTTTCAATGTTTGAAGGCCACCACTTCCATGCATCATTTATGCAAGATGGTAAGGTAGCACACATGGATCTGAGCTAAGCTTTTGTTTATACCCTGTGTAAATAACAGCCAGTGTTAGAAGATGCATTCCAATTGAGGAACACATGTGTAGATGCTGAACTTTGGATTTGATTCAGAACTTTTTTGTGAAGGTGAAAAGTAAAATGATGGATGGGGTTTGTATCCTTGATTTTGGTAAGGCCTTTACTGTAGTAGCATAATGTCCATCTAAATGGCACTTCGGATCAATTTTAATTATTTAAAACATTCCCCTTTCAACATAAGCAAAACAGAATTAGACTTCTTAAACTCTTAACTTTTCCCCACTAACCTTCTCATCTGTTGTAAATCAAATTAATTTTTCTTTAAGCCTTTAGGAATTATTTAAGAACAGCTGAAATGTCATAAAATTAGAAAACCACCAACATTGGGAGGGCTAGTAATAAGCTCTTTTCCAACTCTAGAATTTCAGTTGTAGCTCATTAGTTGAAAAGTCACTTTTGTTGCCTTTGCCCTTGTGTTTGGGAGCACAGCAGAGGTGAGATCGAAAGACAGTGGCATTTTCAATAAAAGAGCAAATTGTGTCAGCCTCTTCTAAGCCATTGTTGATTACAAATGAATTTTAATGAGCCAGGGCATTCAGATGTTATGCACATCACCGGCACTGCTACATCTACCTTTAACTGTGTTTAGGTACATGTATATCGTTGGGGTGGGTAACCTGTTGCCCTTTAGATGTTACATTGAAACTCCTGTCATCCCTCACCACTGGCCATGCTGACTAGCATTTTAAGTTGGAGTCTGACAGTATCTGAGAACTACAAGCTGCCCATCCATGATTTAACTGTAATAGAAGGCATTTTCAGCATATCAACAAGTGGAGAATCAAGAAATGGAAGTAAATTATGTCAGAACAGTCAGGAGGGGGGCTTAGATCAGCCTGCAGAACAAAATCTAAAATCAATACATGCAGAGTACAGAAAATGAGCCCAGGCCATTCCGATCAATGATCTGCACAAAGGCTAACTGAATAGCACTGACATGTGTACTGATCTGTTCCATTATAACTTCTAGTTATAGGGTTTTGACTTTGGAAAGGAGATACAGGAAAGTAATGAGGGCCCCCGTTTCCATCTGTTCAAGGGAAGCAAAATGTCTTCTTCACACAGTTCTGAGCTGTAGCTTGCTAAAAATGTAACTTCTTTGTATATGTTTTTCCCTTTTCCCTAGAGTAGGGAAGACCTCGCTCCTCCATCAGTATGTTCACAAGAAATTTTATGAAGACTATCGAACTACTCTGGGAGCCAGCATCTTGTCTAAAGTGGTAGTTGTGGATCAAACACCATTGAAACTGCAGGTGAGAAAGATGTGCCAGCTCTCCTGCCCCGTGTTCAGGCATACATTGCAGATGAGACACATACACCGTTCTTAAGTTACAGCTGTTGAGAAAGAATTGCTTTGCTGGCAGCAAATTCCTAAGAGAGTTTTAATATTTCATATTTAATATAAAATGTTCATACAAAATGGACATTTTTTGCAGAAAATGTTTATTATATTAAACAGACTTTAATTATATTGAATGTGGAATACACTTCTGTGAAGTTTTGCCCAAAATGTCTTTCAGGGCAAAACATGCACAAAAGCTCTTCTGTTTTTAAAACTTTTATTCCCACCTAAGAGAAGGAAATAACCAAAGATTTATCTCAGTACTAAGTACGAGTGCCTATTTGTCCTTTCTCTCCCTCTAGATCTGGGATACTGGAGGGCAGGAGCGTTTCCGGTCCATGGTTTCCACATTCTACAAAGGCTCAGATGGCTGCATGTTGACCTTTGATGTCACAGACATGGATTCCTTTGACACCTTAGATGACTGGAGGGAAGATTTTTTGCAGAAAGTTGTCCCTGCTGATCCAGGCTTCCCTATGGTTGTGCTAGGCAATAAAATTGATTTGAAGGACCGCCAGGTAAGTGAAGAATGTACAAGAGGTGGGAGGAAGCAAGGTAGCAAACATATTTTAACTTAATTGGACACCTTACAATCTGGGTTGAAAGCTTTATGAGTGTGAGAAGCTTTCTCACTCTTATGGAAGACTTTCTCCCTTGCTTCCATTTTACCTAATGTTTTCGATACATGTCAAAGGAATTTAAATGTGAGGATCTCTACAGTTACGCTTGGGAGACCAGGAGCTATTAATCTCTGTGTGTAAGGCAAAATAGTAGCCTTTACAGAATTTCTGTCTTATCCCTCTTTCTTTTGGTATTCCCCTATAGTCACCTACACACACACTCATCATTCAGTCTCTGCATTGCTGTGATCTTAAGCCAGCCATGCTCTCACCACACTAAACAGCCTAAATCAGTGTCAAAGTAGATAATGTGGTTAGCATGTCATTACAAGTAAAGAAATTAAAAACATTGTTTGTGCTACTATGAATTAACGTGAGGTTTCCTCACCTCCATCAGCTTGCTTTTGTTTTGTGCTTGGTCTTTGGGAGAGTTGGTCAACACAGGCTTCTCTTCCAAGCCTGATTGCTCAGACAAGGAGCTGAAGAATTCCACTCCTAGAGGGAAAATAAATGATCAACTTTTAATTGCAAAGCTGATGTGCCATACAATTTGACCTCTACAATTCTTCACTGAAAGAGAGGAGAGGGATTTGAGTAGGCCCTATTTTCTGTCATCTAAGCAATGACTATCTTTATCGCCCTCTTCTGGTGCACATGTGTGCAGAAATACAATTGTGTTTGGCTTTATAAAGGAATGTTTAATACACAACACTATTCTGTTCAACTCTCTCTCCCTCTCTCCTATAAAGGAATGTTTAATACACAACACTATCCTTTTCACCTCTCTCTCTCTCTCTCTCTCTTTCCATTCTTTGGGAATGTTAAATAGAAATACCAATTTTATTCTATGAGATATTGAGAAAAATATCCTCCCCGTAAAGCATTCCACTTTGATTATTAACTCACCTAAATATTAAATAGAAATACCAATTTTATTCTATGAGATATTGAGAGAAATATCCTCCCTGTAAAGCGTTCCACTTTGATTATTAAATGTAACTCACCTAAATACATTCCTTTTCTGTTGCAGGTATCCAAGGAGGCAGCATCATCCTGGTGCAAAGAAAAGGACATTGCATATTTTGAAGTTAGTGCCAAGAATGATATCAATGTAGTACAAGCTTTACCAATTTTATTCTATGAGATATTGAGAGAAATATCCTCCCTGTAAAGCGTTCCACTTTGATTATTAAATGTAACTCACCTAAATACATTCCTTTTCTGTTGCAGGTATCCAAGGAGGCAGCATCATCCTGGTGCAAAGAAAAGGACATTGCATATTTTGAAGTTAGTGCCAAGAATGATATCAATGTAGTACAAGCTTTTGAGACCCTGGCAAGACAAGCACTATCAAGGGTAAGTCCTAGCCTTCCCATAAGAGATACCAGGTTTTGCCTTTTAAAAATTGGACTTCGACACAAGATTTTTGTTGCCTTTGCTGCAGTAGACAGTGGGAGAGGTCGAGATGTGAAGGATAATTTCACTTTTAAATTCCCAGCAATTTCACCAATTGCATCCAAAAGAATACAGAGAACGTCTGGTAGTGATGAGGGCATTAAATTCAGTGAATGGGACAGGATGGTGGCGGAGAAATGCTTATCTGAAAACATCCTAAAAAATCTGAAATATTTCATCATATAGTGATTCAGAATCTTGACTTTCTCCTCAACTGTCTATTTGTTTTTCTGTTTTGTATCCCAACACTCAGCACTGAAAAAGGTTAGAAAACACAGATTTATTGAGTTTTTTTTAATTATTATTATTACAATGGGCAAAACCCCGTTTTAGGCCCGGCTAGGGTAGTCCCACTGAAATGAATAAAACTTGACATAGGGAGAGGATTTGTGTGACATGTCAGATTTTTTTCTGCAACCTATGTTTGACCTTATGGGTGGGCTTGAACATGTTTATGAGTAATCTGGTGAGAAAGGCCAAATTACTCATAAACATGTTTGAATTCGCTTATGAGTTCAAATGTAGTTGCAGAGAAAGTGTGAAATGTCATGGAGGTCTTCCCTTAGGCTTCATGACCAATCTAAATCCTATTGATTTCAGAGGATCTACTCTAATTGGCCCCAGAACTGAACTCAGCCTAGTAAATATTTTATTGATAGTCAATATTTCACTGTACCTTTAAGAGGCATGCCTTATTTATTTATTTCAAGGGTAAAGGGGAAAAACTCAGGATAACAGGGAATATATAATGCTATACATTATCACATACAGTGGTGCCCCGTATAGCGATGTTAATCCGTTCCAGGATTAACATCGCTATACGGAAACATCGTACAGCGAAATTAAAAAGCCCATTGAAACGCATTAAAACCTGGTTAATGCGTTCCAATTG